ATGCTGCGGCAGCCGGGCATCAAATTCCATATATTTTCGCCCAGTATCACACTGATAAGGGAATTGAATCGAAGTAAGATTGATGGCTGTCCGTTGTTGTTTTCCTTTTGAAGGAATAAATAGGCCTTTTGTATTGATTTTGTCTATTTTTTGATGGAAATGGACGTTTATTGTTTTGAAATAATGAATTATCATTGCATCATGATATGGCGAAAAAATCTACAGATTGAATAAAGTGGTATCATATACCTAGGTATTGTTATGAAAATGCATCGACGGCCGGGATTCAAAGAAATTATGTACTCGGTCGGGCAGCGCGCCTTTTCTGGGAGTTCCATTATATTCGATTCGATTATTGTTTTTCGTATACGTTTCTATAAGTAGGTAATAAGTGAATTTCACGTGAAGTCATTTAGTTTATGGTAAAAGTTGTTACTCTTTGTGAAGTGAGTTTTAGTGAACCCGGAATTCGTGATAATTTGGTGTCAAAAGTGCGATGAACAACCAAAAGTGGCTAACGTAAAAACAATCTTCAAGCCAACAAGGAAAATACAGCAATCAATCAGATCAGCCAAGGATAATAGGTACCCACTGTCAAGCGCTGGAGACTTTCGTATACCATGCACATGTGGTAAGGTATACATAGGAATCTTTCCAGCGATCCGTTGGATTGTGGGTGGCTTACGCTTGAAAATGTCGAATGTCGTAGAGTTGACAGAGGTCTTTGAGTTTAAGGCGTTGTTGAATTCACCTCCACAATCCCAGTGCATTCTCAAAGGTGTACCGTAATGTTAGAAGAATACTAGTAGGGTATTAACAATTGTGGACGCCTTTTTGTCTGAGATTGCGTAGGCTTGAGTGAATTTGGTAAGTTCATCCCTAACTGTTAGGGCGTAGTTACGAACTGGGAATTCAAAAAGGTGAATGTTTATCCTTTCAAATGGAGTTTTGGGAGTTTCAGTGATAACGAGAAGTGAACTAAGATTTTTCCTACAGATTTTGACTTTTTGGCAGATTTCACTGGCTCTGATGAATTTCTCAACATCTTTGGGTAAACCTTGCCAGGAGTATTTGTCTTTAATCTTTTTAACGGTTACATTGATTTCACGATGTAAATTTGTTTTCCCAGTATGATATTGGTCCAGGATAATTGGGATTTGGTCTTGATCTGGGGTTTTGACGATATTTTGGCATATCTTGAGCTTAATGTCTTTTTCGGCAAATATAAAGGAAAATATTTCATGAATAGTTAATTCTAGATTGTTTTCTATGCAAAAGATTTTTTCAGGGTCAAATTCGTTTTGAGTTTTGACACTTGAAAAGCCAGTAGAAGAGGGTAGGGACTATTTTCTCATTTTTGCAAGAAATGGGAATTATGAAGTATTTGCGTGCCTTCACAGATTTCCTGGATAAAATGTTAACCTGATTAGGTTGAAAATCGAATCATCTATAATTTCGTAATGTAAGTCTGTTAGTTTGGTTTTGCAATATTTTTGTGAGACTTGTCCAGAAGTTGTAGGTTGCAAATCTCTATCTTTGAGTAGTCAATAATTGATCTGGTTTTGTGGAGATTTACGGAGGAGTTATAGCCTTCCTCAATTAGGGCTGTTTCATCATTGTTTTCAATTTCGACGATTGGAATTTCTTGTTGTTATTGACTTGTAGAGGGGGGTATCTTATATCGTTAAAATCAGGTTCTTCTTTGTTAGAAGTGAGTATGTGAATTTTGGAGCTTAAAATTGAACAATCTTCAAAGTGGTTTACTTTTATTCGAGATAAGGCATCAGCATTCTTATTGATTTTCCCAGGTTTATACTCGATTCGATAGTCGTATCCTTCGAGTTTCAAGCGCCACCGAGCTAAACGACTTCCAGGGTCTTTAATTGAGAAAAGCCAAGTTTAAGGGCGATGGTCTGTGATAAGGACAAATTTTCGACTATAGTGATAAGGTCTAAAATATTTAACTCCCCATACAATGGCCAGTAATTCTCTGTTTATGGTAGAGTATTTAGTTTCGGCATTGCACAGTGTTCGAGAGGCATAGGCTATAGGGAGATCTTTTCCTATAGGGCCTTGTGACAAAACTGCACCGATGGCAAAAGCGCTTGCGTCGGTCGGTGGTTAATAGAATTGTCTCCTCGAAATTGGGATAGATCAGAATCAGGTCAGAAACTAGTGCGTTTTTCAATTCATTGAATGCGGATATGCATTCTGGGTTAAAGCGAAATGGAACATCTTTCTGGAGGAGTTTTGTCAGGGGCTTTGATATTTTAGTAAAATTGGGGATAAATCGACGATAATATCCTGCTAATTCTAGAAAGGATTTAATGCCTTTTGGATTTTTGGGCTTGGGGAAGTTCTGAATACAACTAATTTTTGCAGGATTCGGTTTTACACCGTCTTGAGTGATAAGGTGTAAGGTGTCCCAGGTAAGCTACTTCTTTTCGAAGAAACTCACATTTGTCCGGCTTGATTTTTATTTATTTATTTATTTATTTATTAAAACGGAAAGCAATCGAAACCGATCAGTCCGTTCACGGGCTAGGTCGAAATTTAGACTTTGCACTTGGTTTTCTTTTTCATTTTTTTTCTTTGGTTTTTTTTTTCTTCATTATTTCTTTATTTTTTTTCTTTCATTTTTTTTATGGTACATAATGCACAAAAACACCATTGATCTCTTCCATTGCTGAGTCCAGACGATTTTTGAAGCTGTTGATGCTTGGGGCACTCCCGATCTCCTCACTCAGAGAGTTCCACTTATAGACAACTCTGTTGCTTAGAAAGTTTTTTCTCGGCAGTTTATTGGCTCTCTCTTTGTTCAGTTTTTTAGAGTGTCCTCGGAGATGCGGGTTTAAGTTTAGTGAGCAAATTTCCTGCATGTTGCTGACATAGTAATTGTTCAAAATTTTGAAAGTGTCAATCAGATCCCCTCTTGTTCTTCTCTCTTCTGAAGATGTTAGCCCGAGCTGCCTCATTCTATCCTCGTATGGGGTGTGGCGAAACTGCTGTGGAATCTTGCTTAATCTTCGTTGCACTCCCTCCAACAAATTTCTATCCTTTATATAATAAGGGCTCCACACTGAGTGGGCATATTCAATCTTGGGCCTTATGTACGTTTTGTATAGCTGTAATATCATCTGGGGACTAGTATTGCCGAAAGATATTCTTGCAAGGTATGTGAAAGAGTTGGTTTTTTTCAAAATTGAGGTGATGTGTTTTTCCCATTTCAGGTCACTGGATATAATGCCCAAGTCCGTTTGCGAGTTGACGTGCTGCAGCGAACAGTAATTTAGGATATATTCATTTCCTGGATTTTCAGCACCCACAGATAGCACCACACATTTATCAGCATTGAGTTTCATCTGCCATCTTTCAGACCATGTTTGTATTTCAGCAAGATCGTCTTTCATGTCCGAATATTGCGTCAGTGCATCACAGTACAGCTTGGTGTCGTCTGCAAAAAATGTGATGTTTGCCTTTATGTTCTCAGCCAGGTCACTAACATACAGCAGAAACAGGAGAGGTCCCAGCACAGAGCCCTGCGGGACCCCACTAATTACGTCGTGGAAAGAAGAGCAGACTCCGTTGACTCTCACTTTAAACACTCTGCCTTGTATAAATTCTCCTATCCAGGTGTGTAGACCGCCTCTTACTCCAAAATGGCTCAACTTGTAGAGAAGCCTTTTGAAAGGCACCTTGTCAAAGGCTTTCTCATAGTCCAGGTAGATAATATCTGTTTGTATGTTCTTATCAGAGTTTGTAGTCCAGTCGTTTAAACATCTTAGCATGTTGGTTGTTGTCGATTTCTTCTTCTGGAAGCCGTCCTGCGAATCAGGTATAACATCATTTAACTTTGAGAATTCATCCAGTTCCTTCACTATGATTTTCTCCATAACCTTACAAACAGGGCTTGTTAAGCTTACAGGCCTGTAGTTTTCTGGTTTAAATCTGTCACCCTTTTTCTATATTGGTGTTATAATAGCCTGCTTCCAGCTGGCTGGCAAAGTCCCCAAGGTCATAGATTCATTCATAGCATGACTTAGTGGTGTTGCTAAACTTTTTACACATTTATTTAGAAAAATGGACGGAATTTCATCCGGACCAGGACTTGATTCAGTTTTTAGGCTTAGAATAGCGTTTTCCACCTTTATTGGTGTGAATTCAATGGTGTTCAGCGAACTAACGTTTCTAGTGCTATCAGGCAAAACTGGAATCTGGTCATTCTCTTGTGTAAACATGTTCATGAATTGTTTGGCAAACTTTTCCGATGTATCCTCATTGCTGGTAATAATGTTGTTAGTGTCGTCATCCTTTAATGTGATTGTTGACATTTTTGAGTTTAGACTTTTAGACACGTACTTGCAGAATTGTTTGTTGGATTTTGATTGTATTATTCTATGTTCATAAAATATTTTTGCTTCAGCTATTTTATTTTTTAATTTGTTACTCTGTAATCTGTACAACTGATAGTTCTCATCTGTAGTGTTTTGTCTATACCTATCCCAGAATGTACGTTTTTTGTCTATTTCCTTGAATATGGCCTCATTTATCCATGGCTTCTGGGGGTTTTTCTTTGTGGATTTTAGTGGTATGAATTTATCAATGGTTGTTTAGATGATGTTTTCACAGTGTTCATATTTGGTCAAGTTGGTGTTTGTGTTCTCAAAGTCTTGATTATGCAAGTGGTTGTTGATTGCGTCGTAGTCTGCCTTCTAGAAGTTTCTTGTTTGTCTTTTAAAAGTCTCCTTCCCTTTTGCCTTTACTTGAGATGTGCCGGTGATAACTACATGATCACTGCGTCCAATCGGAAAGTTACTTTTAATATTAAATATTAAGTTCTTTTCACTTACCAATATCAGGTCTAATAGCGATTGTTGGTCTCCTCTTATTCTAGTGTGAAAGTTCACTAATTGGTTAATTTTTTCATATATTTTCTCTGTGCTTCTGTTTGGTCTCCCTTGATATAGACTCTATTTATTTCAGGTAGTTTGCTTTTTTGTTTAAGTACATTTAGCTGCTTCTCCTTTATTTGGAAATATAACTTTAACTGGTCTCACTTTCTGCACTTCGTATTTTCCTATTCTCATTATCTTGAGATTATCTATGTTGATGCTTGGATTTATCTCTTTTAGAACGTTATATACACCGTTTTCATCTTTTTCCATTCTATCTTCTCTATAAGTGAATTCTTGAATTTCCGGTAGACTAAAGACAAGGACGCTTTTTGCCCTTGCCTCTCTTTCCTGTGCTGGTTCAAAATTGGAGTTTCTCGCAGTTTCTTTGGTAATGACTTCGCTTTCCAGGTTTCTAATGTCCGCCTTGATAGCATCTAATGAGGGCAAATCTGGTATTTGCTTTCTAGCGTTTTCCTTCAACCTATTTTCCAGTTCTTTGAACTCTTTCTTTAGTGAATGTTTTTTTTTTTCAAAGGTTTTAACCACATCTGCATAGGTAGTGCCTCCAGGTTTTATGGCATCCTTCAACTCCCCAATGTCCTTCTTGATTTCCTGTATATCATCCTTTAGTGTTGGTACCTGCTTAATGGAGTTTTTGCAGTCTTCGCAGAAGAAGAGTACTACTCTTGAGGACATTATTAGTGCCCTTATTTCTGTAGCACTAATATTGGCGCAGTTTTTACAATAAACTCTTCTGCAACATTCACATGGATATCCGAATACATCGGCCTTTGATTCCTTCATCACACAGTTTGTTTTGCACTTGGCACAGCGGATCGCCATTTTTGCAGGTTATATTTTGAATCTTTATTTATTTCTGAAATCCCTGATTTAAATTATGATTTATTCACTGTTTTCACTTTATTTTTTGTACAGAATTTATTTTTAATTATGTTTTCATTTTATTCGATTTGAAAATACTAAAAATATCACTAATTTCTTGACTAAATTTCGTAAACATAAATTGCTTTGCGATGCGCGCGCTAACATCTAAGTTGGCTCCACGGAGGGGTTTAAATACTTCGGTTACCCTTGAAATATGTTCGTGGATGGTAGGAAAGTAAACGATAATATCGTCCATGTAGACTAAGCATCTTTCATTTTGAATTCCGAGGAGAATATTGTCAATGACTCGTTGGAATGTGGACGGGGCATTTTTCAATCCAAATGGCATACGTACGAATTCGTAATGGCCATTCTCTACAAAAAAAGGAGTTTTCCAAACATCCTTGGCGTCTACTTCTATTTGGTGAAAACCTGAAGCTACGTCAAGGGTGGTAGAATATTGAAATTTTCCCAATTGATCCAGAAGATCGGGAATATAAGGCAGCGGGTATTTGTCGTCTACAGTAAGTTCGTTGACTTTACGGTAGTCGATTACGACGCGCCATTTGGGTTTGCCAGAAGCATCAAGTTTCTTAGGAACGACCCAGACGGGAGAAGACCGTGGAGATACATACAGAATGGCGAATTATGCCTTCGTCTAGCATTTTGGTTACTTGAGATTTGACTTCTTCTTTGTGGATTTGGGGGTACCTGTGAGATTTGGTATACACATTTGCATTATTGGTGTCAATAGGGTGTTTAATCTCATTAGTAAATGTGAGCGTGTCACCTTCCAGGTAGAAAATGTCGAAAAAGTTCAGGTATAAGTTGGTAATTAGTTCTTTTTCTTCGTCGTTCAAATGTTCTGTACAGAGTTCATTTTGTATGGACATTTGCCTATCATAAGTATCGTCATTGTCGAGGTTACAGTTGTTAAAACTTAGAATGGTTTTTTGAGTTTAACTTTCTGACACAAATAATTCGATACACAAGTTCGAAAACTCCACGAGTTTTTCTATAGCGTTTATATTTATAATTGAGGTTAAAAATTCACCTTGTTCATTGACTTTTAACAAAAAAGATTCATGGGAATCAGGATCAACGAGCACAAAAGAAACTACAGACTAGGACAAATGGAAAAATATGCAGTAGCGGAACATGCGCTTAGTGGAGGGAATCACGAAATACCCTTTGGTGAGGTCAAGCTTCTTGCACCGACTTCCGGATACCACAATCGTCTTTTTCGTGAAGCTATAGAAATCCACAAACATAAGGAGAACTTCAACAGAAAAGAAGAAACAGTAAAACTTAACCAAACCTGGAACCCGATCTCCAAAAACGCAAGAAAGATTCAATGGGATCTTTCTTGCGTACAGAGAAAGATCAGATTAGCCACGTGCTGCGAAGCCCCACTCCATCCCCACCACAGCTACACACATATAAATACAATTTACGGTCGGGCACGCGTCAGTCTGCTACCAGAATCAGACATGGAAGCACCTCTGAAGATGCTAGCCACGCGTGCTAGCGGAACATCAGGAAGAAATTGCAACTTACGACGGCCATTAAGCACGAATGAAAACACTTTATATTTTAACATTGACAAAAAATTTAATACAAAGCCATTCTCAAGTGCAGGTATTCTGCCCACACTGACTGTAGATTCCGCGAATGTGCATGGGGAAACAGAAATCCATCTGAGCTCAGGAAATATCTAGATCTGTCAAAAAGTGCTGATTGCTGATATAGAGAATGAGTTTATTTTGGGTATGGACCTAATGGAAATGTTCACTCTTCCAACAGCGCGTTGATTTTTTGTCCCCTGGAGGAATTCATGCTGACGAGAGAAAAATAAAGCATTTGAACTCACAGTCTAGAACTTCTGCATATACCTACGTTTTGCTGTAATACAATATAATAAATATTTCCAAGAAATCCTTAGTATCGATTTGATTTTTATACCATAATAAAAACAGGATATATTTTCCAAACATTCAAATTAAAATCGGGTTTCATTTGCAATTCGCCTATAGAAAACTTGAAAAAAACTTGAACTTGATTCAAAATTTTACAATAGTCGGGCATATACCTTATACTCTCTTCAATAAACGATAATTAAAATTGATTTGGCATAGCATCCGGAAACAAAAGAGGCTTGAAACGAGTGTTCTTCCCTTCATTAAACGTTGAAATTTCATTTTTTCGAGTGGCGCGGAATTTCATTTGGCCCTCGTCACCGAGTCACTTGACACCAAGCCGAGGAACATTTATTTCGTTTTGGCGCCTCTGGGCGTCGCGGCTTATTAATTGGAAATTAAAACTGCTCTAATTGCTATTCAATGAGGGTTGGTGCATTTTTTGGCTCGTTGCCTGATGTTTTTACGTTATGAGATTTTCATTTTGGTTAGGTAATGGAAGCGGGCTCGATTGATTTTGTATTATCTTAGAATGAGATTTTTTCAATTATGTTGAGGAGAACATAATCCGATTTCATAAGCTGGATGGAGGTTCGGAAACCTCAGAAGGATATCTTTTTTTTCTGTCTACGTTTTACTTGTTTTATAATAAAAGAAAGCTCAACCCTCAGTTTGGGGTACAATAGATTTTAAATCCAGAAAAATTGACCATCATAATGTAGGAAGGCTTAAACGAGCGGTTTCAAACTCAGAATTAGCAGCACAACCGTTTAGAACAATTTTATTTCCAAAAAAATACAATTCAATGGCGGACGGTCCGTCCTGTGCAACCACGTCTCCCTCCACACTCCGCCATATTCCCTTCCTTCCCCAACGCTTTCTCGCTCTCTCCGCCAGGGAGCGCCACTGACATCCGGCGCGAATTTTAATTTAAAAGTTTGAGCGGGAATATCAAGTGGTTACTACAATAATAAATTTACATTTTTTAAATGACGCTCGTGGACTAGTATTGATGTGTCAAAAACCATGATTCAAATTACCAATGAATCAAAAACAATCTCTAAAAATCGGAGCAATTGTAGTGCAGACAGGCACCGAAATCCGGAATGCATAGAACAAATAGGCAGATTTTTTGACTATATAGCGATTGAAACAAGGGAATTCGCGAACAAGCAAAACTTGTATATCGCTTTCAACTTTACAAATCCCAGTATTACTGAATAAGAGCTTTGATTAGTCTGGCTAATCTTAGTAGCTATTTTATTGCTTGACCTAGCCTAAAGTACAAATGACGTTTATATCGCAAATACAAAGAATCTTCAGAAACAAAACTTCTAAAAGACAGAATTATGTATTATTAACCAAGCAAGGTTGTCACCAACTTTGTTAATCATAAGACAATATTAGGGTATAGAACACGAAAGAAGAAACTTTTCGAAATTTCTTCCATGTTTAAGAGCTGCAAAGGTACAGGGCCAGAAGCTAATTTTCGCCACCAGATTCGACTCGCAATTTCCTGTTGTCTCACGACAAAGGTGAAACGCTAAAGCTGAAAGAGCCCTGCGACGTCTTATCTAGCCGTATGGTCTATTATTTATTGGGTCGGTAAATCACTTGGAGAACTTCTAAATTGCTATAAAGCCATACATCTCGCTCTCCGGTTGCCGACTATATTAAACATAAATTGCTTCTTTTGGCCCCGGTTAGTTTAGACGCTAAATTATATTTCAGGAAATTAAAAGTTTTGAGCCTGAACGTTGTTTCGACGCTTTGTGCTTCATTATATATATTTGTTTGCAATATCGAAACATTATTAAGCAGTTATAACACACATACCATATGAATAAATAAGGCCTTTAGAACAGAAAGTTAGGCAATTGAAATTGTAGATCTGAGTCTGATGCGTGCAAATTATGCCTTTGCTCAACATAAAACAATTCGGAGAGCAAGGGCGGGTTAATTTAGATCACCGACAGAAAATTCAGCTTATTGAGGCTCTTGTCTGGTTCTCAAAAATCGTGCAATTTCAAATTTATCGCAGAAAAGTATAAATAGATATCAGAAAAACCAAATAAGTTTGAGATGCATAAGACTAAATGAAAGTCAATTCAATTTAAGAGCTACAATAAACAAATTAGTGAAGAGATAAGTCCAACGCGTTGTGCTATTGCGTTACTTATAGCAAACGTTCTCCGAATAAAAACGTTTTTAAAAACTTTTCACATTATCATGCCTTCTAAAAGATTTTAATTTAAAACTTTCAAAATAAAATTAAAATATGCTAACTTTGCATATAAAATAAATTAGGCAAAATTAAACTCGGGCACACCACTCAACCAATTAGTCATCCCAGAGAGCCCCTTTTCGCGCATCGGCGTTATAAAACCGCGTAGTAATCCCCCGGAAAATTGAACGGCGTCTCGCCAAAAGAAAAAAAATTACTCGCCATTTAGGCTTTTAGCACCTACAAATATTTGCCAAACAGTGTGCGGCGGCTTATTTTTATGCAAGGCTTTCGTTGTTTACGAGGCCGCCAAGTCCGTTGTTTGATACCCCATTCTTGTGGTTTTTGGTATTTTGTCAAGAACTCATTAAAAAGAGATAGGAATTTTTCATTTGAATACTTGAATCGATAAATGAGATTCAAAAAGTTAACTTGTAGAAACGCTTTAATTCAATAAATAATGAAACAAAATACAGTTTTCATACGCTATCGCACTCAAAATTTCGAAAGAAAACTCGTGAACAATCCAAAACTTTCTGCCGAGTACTCTCAGTTTTTAGCAGATCATGAATTCCTAGGTCTAACATATACGAAGGTTAGGAATTCTGCACATCTTGACCAAAATCAAGCTTCATCAATGTGTTTTTTTTTCTCTCTCAGTCTTTTCCTAGGTAATGTTTTAGTATTGTTTCCGGACTACGTTTGGTTGCCCAAAAATGCTGTGTCTTCTGCGATCCAATGCCTCGCAGTTTACCAGCATGTGTCTGGCTGTCTCGGGTTTTTATTGCAGAGTTTGCAGTTAAGGTCTCCGTCATACA